CGCTAAAATACAAATCCGTAGCATATGATGCACTATTAAGTTGTTTACGATCTGTGTTATTACTTTATAATAAAGCATAAAAAACTTTAAGATCAATGAAAAGTTTAAGATGTCTTAGTGGTTGAATCTACCTAACAATAGACCTTCCTACAATAATTTGAGATGTAAGAATTATTTCATTTGAACAACAACTTTATATGATATGGATGTAGAGTTCAAAGCTTTTAGCTTTTGATTTAAATCTTTGTCAACTCATCTCACGATTTTCATTAGTTTTAAGACCAGAGACTATCATAACAGAGCTGAAGTACTTTTCAGATTTCACAGCTTTGTTGTGGTGCATTGTTTGTCGACTTTCGCGCAAAGCTACTCAAGGATTATCTGTGATAACCGTCTTTAATTTAGAAGTGATAGACTAGAGAGAAAGCAGCTAGTCAACACCACCCACTGACAACTCTTGGGCTATTTTTTATTAAAAATAAATGAGATTGACCGTCACATTATAATGCTCCGACGTCTGAAAGAGCGAGCAGGTTTGGTGACGGGATTCGAACTCACGATCAGCAACTTGCGAGTTGAGCGCCCTAACCATTGGGCCATGCCAGGCTTGCTGTGGTATAACTTGACCAAATTGGCGAAGAATTAGGGCTCTTGAAACCTAAAAAAATATTAAAACCCCGTTTACTTACAGGAGCTGTTTTACAATACTCCATACAAAGAGCATTTCATGTATATGATCTTGGCTGTCATACATCCAGTTCAGTTGATGAGTTATGGTATTGAAAGAAAGGGCTACCGACCAGTGACTTGCGGCATACTAAAGATAGACCTAAAATGCTATTTTTGTACATCTCTGAAGGAAAATGTGAAAACTTCTGCGATCAAACATATCTATTTATTTAGAAACATCTAAGTATTCAAAGCACATGTTTCAACAAACTAAAACAAAAGTATTGCTGTAGCTACATGTTTTCAAATAAAATGTAAAATTCGATATTCTAGATAATCTTATGGTCGTTCAACTATTTTTATATCCAACTTAAAAATATTGTATAATCTTTATAACCGTGGATGAATATCTACAGTATATATGTATGTGTGTGTGTGTGTTTATAAATATTACTTATGCCTAAAATGTGTTTATTTCAATGTTATATTTCTCATAAGCTTATACATTTAACTTTCTACCATGAAATGTTTATGAATTTATTACGATTATTTAATTACAATCACTTCAGTGGTACAGCGGTATGTCTGCGGACTTACAACGCTAAAAACCGGGTTTCGGTGCTCATGTTGGGCAGAGAGCAGATAGCCCATTGTGTAGCTTTGTGCTTTATTACAAACAAACAAACAGATAGCTAGGTTAAAAAAGCCCTTTAAAAATTGAAATCGTTTAATGAAAAGCGAACGGCAGTTAATCAGCATGATTAAGTGTGGATATACTTTGATAAATAAGAACTAAACCAGTGCATTTTATGAAAAACATGAGTGACTTCAAATTTTCATGGAATTAGTTATCATTCTTTATTCAACTAGTCTAACCGCATAATTTGAACAGAATCTCAAAATACTCGTGGATTACTTATTCTAAACTCTATTATCCTGTAATAGACGTTTAATTTAATACAATAGCAATAAAGTTAGTTCTGCTTTCATAAACGTCATTATTTGTTTCTTCTTGAGTAGTTTGTTTACAAAATAGTACTGCAACTGTAAACTTTCGATGAACTAAACTCATTTCGAAGAATGAAAGTAATTTATTTTTCATTTGTGACAATTCCAATATTTGATAAAGTTTTAGATTCGCTTTAACTTAAGTTGTTTCTGAAGTTAATATTTTGATTAGCTTATCTCACTTGTTTCAGAATTGAGGCAAACGATAAAATTAATTACTTGAAAACCAATACAAACCTACGACCATTTGAAAAATCTAGTCTTGATAAGAGTAGCTATAATATAAAACAGCTTTGTGAAAGGAAACGTGTATTATTCTAATGGATATTTGAGGTTGGTGACAACTTATTGAATAACAATCTCATGATTCTTAAAAAGTTGTTGTTCTTAAGCAGAAAGCTACATAAAGGGTTATCTGTGCTTTGCCCACTGCATGTATCGAAACCAGGTTTCTAGCAGACATGCCGCTGTGCCACTGGGAGGCTCTTAAAAAGATAAGGGCTTTCAAGAAAGTCATTATTTGTTTAATTAAGAGAAATCTTCACCGCTTAACAAGGTCTATAAGTTCTTATAAACCTCAACCTTATTAAACTCATATACAGAGAAAACTGTGTCATCTTGAACGTAATTGGGACTGTCATGTTTACGGTTATCTGGATAGCATGTATATATTTTGAACACGCATACACTTCCATGTTTGAATATTTGAGGTGTCACTAAGTAAGGAAATAAAGTACTCCATTACTATGCAAATGTTGAAATATATGTTTGTGAATTATAAACTGAAACATACTCTGATGTAATACACTTGAAACCTGTATTAACTGAGAGAAGGTTAGAATTTTTCCTTCAAAACTTTTGGTTTCAAAGATAAAATGTAGAAATAACTTTCTACTGAGTATGACAGAACTAATAAAGCACCATTTCTTTCAAAGAAATAATGTGATGAAAGCAGATGAATTATCACACTTAGATTCTTTTTTTTTTTTGGTAAGTGCAAAATAATATAATGGTCTATCTGCGCTGTGCCAACCACAGGAATTGAACCACAATGTTTAGCGTAATAAGTCTTTATACTTACCGCTGAGTCACCAAAGCCAACGAAATTGAGATTGATAATTGATGGGTTCTTAAAATAAATCATTGGTCGTAATCATTGATGACATCATAAAAGTCTATTCTTTTATATAGTGTTTAAACTAAGATTTATAATATTTTATTCCAGCTGTCTTATGTATAGTTTTGACCTAAAGGCCTTGCAAGTTAGGGTTATGAGTTTCAATTAACTACGAATTTATCTTTATGTTTGATAACACCTGTAAATTTTAAAGACAGAACTCTGAAGTGAAATCCTGTTATATCATGCAACAGGTTAATTCTAGAAAAAAAAGTTCTGGTTACTCAGTCATATGAATCAATAGCCAGATGGTTCGAAATTGACTTAAGAAGTTTATCATGCTTTATTATGAACATTAAAAATGAGCCAGGTTATTCATAACCGAAACGGCCTGACAGGGCCTGATGGTTTGGACATTCGACTCGCAATCTGAGGACTATGGTTTGAATCCCATTACTGAACATGTTCTCACTTTCATTTGTGAGGGTGTTAGATGACGATCCACGCCACCATTTTATTAGAATAGCCCTAGAGTTTATCCTGGGTAGTGCTTACTAGATATTTTCCCCCTGATCTATCATTTCTCTCACTACAGACAGCTAGAACATATAGTCCCCGAGTAGCTTTGTGCGAAATTCGACCAAACAAACACAAACGTATTTTCACATCCTAGTTACTATCTCTAGTGTGTTTGTTCTAATTTTCGTTTGCATAAAGATTCTTACATAAATTCTTAAATATTTTAAACAATACATTGCAAAAAATACTTAAAATGTCCAACTACAGAAGAATGTTTCAAATTATAAAAGCAAGGTATTGAAACATATTCTAAGTATTAATAGTGTTTCGTATAATCTAGTTGTTAAGTTTATATTTATTTGTTAAAGTCTGAAATCTTAACTGATTAATTTTAATTGTATGAAAATATCACAACTTATTCATTAAAACCAAATTATCTTGAGATAATTATTCTGTATTCACGACTGTTTGAAACTAACATATTCTTATACGTCTGGTTTAGTTTTTTGTTTTAGTACAAAAATACAAAATAAGCTAGCCGCGCTCTGTACATCGCGGGGAATTGAACCCCCAGATCTTAGCCTTGTAATTCCGAAAACGTACCGCTAACTCACTGGGAGAATTTTTATTTTTTAGATAAATGGTGAGGTTAATATTTTCTCGTGTAAACATCTTTGATGGAAAAAACTTGGAATTCAGAATAAATGCAACATAAAAATATATGTGATTACTAAGAATGAATTTCATGTTTGTCATCAAATTAAGGCAGATCCACATTTAAAATATTTCATGAGCATCATGTTTGTCATCAACTGAAAGCAGATCCATCTTTAAAATATTTCAAGGTCAATTTACTTTTATTATAATATTAATATTGCAATAAACATTTTTTGTGCTAATAATTATATCTATAATATTACAAAGACTCTTGATGTTTGGGCTTATAAAATCCCAATAGGTGCAATGATACTGACAAAACCATGGTCCTATGATTTTTATGCAGGAAAGGTTCAAGAGAGAATTTCGAAATAGAGTTCAACGACGTAACCATCTCCGAAGGCGAGAAGAACAGTTCTTTGAGATGAATAGCTCAAACGTCACGGTGCTCTCAGCTAGACAGTCTTTTCCTGAATCTGGAACTGGACAAACAGTCTGTCTTTTGAAATCACATTGTATCTTTTTTAATGAATGTGCAATTTAATTAATATTAATCTTGTTACTATTGCTTCTACAAACCTACCATTGTTTGCAGTCACCAGTAAACTTGAAAACTTAAACTGAATAACCGTAATAAAATGATCTGCTAAATAAATGTAAAGTAGACTCAGATAATATAATGTTCAGTGAAATATTACTGTGTTTTGTAGTAAACGTAACCTACTAAATATAATTAGTGTAATTTTGATATTTGAGCGTTTTTGGTAATTATGCAATCATTTTCGAACTTTAAAAATTGAAAACCTTGGCAAAATTTATTTAAAACTAGTATCTCGATGTATTGCTTATTAGCTTACATACCTACCCGTTCAAAGCACGGATGAGACATTTGGGCCCCCTAGACGTGGCATAGGGGTCAAATCTAAATGCACTTCTCTTAGGTTACTCCCCGGATGGCCATAAGGGTACATAAAAAGATTTGTCATAACTGGTTTAGCGGTTCGCCAGTTCTTATGGGACACACACACAAACACTTTTGGTTTAGATTAGGCTAGTTAAAAACTGCTCCTTTTTATGCAGACATTACTGGTTATTAGTTCTTTGGACATGTCTTACGATTTCTCTCTAGTTTAAAATGAATAAAATTTGCGACATCTTATAAATCATTTAGGAAAATCGGTACATTTGTGATATTTTTATTTTATGCTATTATTTGTTGAAAACTGCCCTTACAAATGATTTATTTACACATTATTAAAAATTAGATATTCAGAAAAAATTTCCTTAGACATTTTTGTGTGTAAAACTGCTAAGACTTGGTTTTGCTTAATTTGCCAGTACACTGCACATCTGCACACACACACACACGCACACACACACACACACACATATATATATGTTTAGGATTTATTGATTTGTTCTGATACTCACTATTAAACATATTACAGCATTCCCATTGAACGGACGCTATCTTGTGGGACAATTTCAACGAGTACAAGCCGAAACAGATGTCAACGACCTGCGCTGATGATATATAATAATTTGGTTACCGAATCACGAATATTTTAATGTTGATGTATTTGTATTTAACGGTGCGGGGCTGCATATATGTAGTGGACAGTGAGATTTGGTATATCAACCTGCAAACGGTATTAAACAGAAATTATTTGAATTGAAAAATCATAATTGTTTTTTACTCTCCAGATTAAAACATGAACAGGTTGGTTTATAGAAGAACAGTTGACATGAATAACTTAACTTATTAATTTACCACAGATCCAAACAAATATTCTATGGTATGAAGATTTGTTCTAAAATATTTTGTTGAAATATCGCTTATGAACATTTACTGTACACCTTCATTAATAATAATAGTGTTAAAACAAAGTTTTATTTACCCCAAATTTACCATGAACTTCAAGAACTTTTTGAAATAATAACATGCTCAAATATTTTATTACATAAGAGTGCACAGAAAGACCAATACGTAAATCATAATAAAGTTTATTTTATTGTTCAATTTGTCAAATATCAATTTTATATGAAAATAATAACTTTATAAAGCATTAATACCTGCTCTGGGTTTCTCCTCAAATGTAAGGTTTATAAAAATATTAAGTGTTTATTTTGCTCAAGTGATCTTATACAAAAAAAATATTGTAAAGCGTCCTTAGAGATTAGGAGTTTTACATTGTAGAAATTTAGGATGGTTTATTTCAAAGTTAAGGTTGTATCTAAATATTAAGGTAACTGCCTTCCCACAAATGCCGTAGACAGTGAAAATCAGTAGAAGTTGAAACGCTGTGGGATGAAAAACTCAACTCCTAACTCTTAACTAATTTTCTTTAGTTGATGGCTAGTTTGACATCATCGTCTGGATCTTATTTGATAGATGGGATATCCTCAACATGTTTGAGTGATATGGCCACAGACATTATCCGTTATGAGTTTTAATGATGACAACGGGGATTGATAATGGAAAAATTAATGTTGATTTTTTGAGTATCTTAGAAATGTCTTTGATTAATATTAATATCATTATTATTGTGTTATAGTGCTAATTATAAAATCGCCTGTTTACAATTAATGTATTTGATAGCTTTAGAACTATTGATATATTCCTTCATGATATATACGTGTATATGTGCTATGTGTATGAAATTTAATATTACTATACGATGTATCTGTATTTTACAATTTCAAGTCCATTTCATTATAATATAAATCATGCATGTCGTCTCTAAGCAACCTTGGAGAAACAGAGTTGCTGTGGTGTTGATTGTTGTCTCTTAATGCAGAGCCATCTGCACTCTATCCTTCATAGGGAATCAAACCCCATATTATAGCGTTATAGGTCCATAAACTTACCGCTGACCGATCAGGGAGACCTGTGATGAAGCCAAGTCTTTAAGACAGCCATGAGAATAAAGGCAGGAATTAATTTCTATAGTAACTGTGTGTCTATTTTAACCAGAACACATCACGTGCAAGACATCAAATTTTACTTACATGATGTATTCAATTAATTATTTTATTTTTAATTTCTTCCCTTTGTATATGTTACCACATCAATTCTCAAACTCGTAAAATAAACTTAATTATTTTTATCTGATCAATTCATGCTACTGGCTATTTGTAAGTTCTTAAATCTACTTTTTATTGTTTTTATGTCACCTCTGCCAGTCGAAAATTGTATGTTTTACACCTCTAAAACAAAATAACTCCATAATTCACGTAACATTTTTCCACAAGTGTATTTTGATGGATGTTAAGCAGAAGCTGATAAATATTTGAAATGTTGACATTATAAAAATCTGCATAGTGGTGAGCGCTTCTTTGCATAAAAATATATTTGTATTCAACAAAAGGTGATGAAAAGGCCAAAATTAATGCATCTTTTTACAACGTTTATGCACATTTCGCAAAGGTACAAAAGACCTGAAAGATAATCTTTTCGTACGAGATTGAGTGATCAAAATAGTTTTAATTGCCCGTTTTTGTTTACATTAAAAGGTTTGCAAATTATAAACTTTTCAACGAACAAAAGATGACAAGAAACCATTATTTGAATATTATTGTAATTAAAGAATAGATGCAAATCGGTAACACCTGGTGAACGTCTGTTGAATAAAAGATACAAATAGGTGACAAAACATGAAAATCTATAAATATAAAGGAAGATGTAGATAATAAAAGGTGAACTTTTTCATATTCAAATATGCAAATACATACAAAAATTATCTTTTAAGAAAGAAAAGATGCAAAAGAGAACAAAAGATGAATTTTTGGGGAATAATAGATGTAAATAGTTAGCAAAAGGTCGGCTGCAAGTGTTCAGAAGATACAAATAGGTAGCAAAAGGCCGACTGCAGGTGTCTAAATGATACAATCAGGTAACAAAGCCCAACATTTTATTACAACTAGATGCAAACACGTAACAAAATGCCAAATGTTGATTGCAGAAAAGATACAAATAAGTGACAAATGTTCAACATTTGATTGTAAAAAATAAAATAAAAACATGTAACATAGGGCAAACTTTTCATTGTAAAAAAAGACATAGACCGGGTAACAAAAGGCCAAATTTTGAATGTAAAAAAATGCCAATATGTAAGAATACTAACTTTTTATTGCAAAAAGATACAAAGTAGTAACAAAATATAAGCTTTTAATTGCCAAAACTTTTAATAAAATCTTTTGTTCACTAAAGTATGCAAACAGGTAAAAAAAACATCAGCCTTTGATCCTTAAAAAAACGTAAACATATTACTACAAAAAAATAAGTTTTAAATATGCTCTTTCTAAACAAAACAAGTCTATCAGAACTTCCTCAAAAGACACAATAACATGCCTAAAAAAAACGTTATGCAACAAGAGTAATACCAAAACATGTTTTGAAAATGAAAATAAGAGCTGTGACAGTCAACATCAGTTATTCAAGATCAACCAGTTTTATTCATAAAAACTAATGCTTTGCAGAAGTGATATTATGATGACACATATTACTCTAAGCTCCTTGATATTTGTGATATCAAAATATAAAGGAATCTCAAGAAATTATATATAAAAAGAATACATGAAAATATTAATTAGTTCCATATCGAACGATGTATTACACCATGTTATAAACTTAATAAAAATATTATGAATTTGCTGTATATTCGCATGAGCTGATGCATTAGTGATTAAAGCTGGGGTAGAACAGACTTGAAATAAATATAACGTTAAAATATATTAAATTGGAATTATACCAAAAGTTAAGAAATGTGTCCATTAGAGATTAGCTGCATACGAAAACGAAAGTTACTGAAAGTCACTTAGTGTAATTATATCAAGACCTCAATCTTTAATAACAAGTGAATAATTGAGTTTGATATTTATGTCAAAAAATTTGTAGAAATCATAAAACAAAACATAGGGGCGGTTTGGTAATTAAAATCACAGACATATATATATTATTTGGCATGAAACAAGTTGGAATATTCCAGAAATTATTACACAAGCAAATGGGTTGATATTGTTGACAATAATGCTATTCAATTGTGGTTGGTGTTTCAATGAAAATATTTTTTTGGGAAAAAAACAAAATATTTAAAGAAACTTTTATGAATATTTTGTGTGAAAAAAAGGATTATTTCTGGAATAGTTCTGATGAGTGGTCACTAAAAGTGAAGTATCTTTAATGATCCTCTGGAACCTCAGGAACTCCTTCATCTTCTAGTCAACAACAACGCTTTTAGAGTAGTCTTTTGCTATTGATAGAACAAACAGATAAATACGTAGCATCGAGTTGAAGTTTATGATTTTTAAATTTATTAAATCGCTGGTACGTAATTCTGTCCATTACTGGACATGTATTTGTTATCTAGTGCTTTTTCTCCTCTTGACCTATTTTTTTAGCATTGAGCTAGAGCCTTTATGATGCAGCTACTCTTCTTTTTGATTCCTGCAAAAGTAACAAAATAATCGCGAGGTTACTTGTATTGATTTAAATCAACAATATGTCAATAGTTAAATCACTCTCTCATTTCTAATATCAACGAAGACATCCGTTTGTTTGTTCGTATCCCATGCATTTTATTGTCTAATTGTTGGTTTAAAACTGTATAAGTAACCTCTGTCTAAATATATTAGAATACTGCTACTTGCCTCATCAATTTTTTATTCAATCAGTTGTCACAAATCAACTTGCTAAAGGCCAGTCTTAATAAATAATTGGAAGTGTTATTTTTCAATTAGTTTAAAATAATTTTCATCAGCACTAAATGTATACTGTACTGCACAACAGATACTGAGTGTATACTCCAAACAAGATATAGATGATAGATTGACATAAGAAATGTTATATGGCCACAAATTAAAGTTATCCAAAAAAATCAGTAACTTTCTGCTTTTTGGCTAATTAAATAATATTTAGTGACCTTTATGGGTTTCTGAGAAAGTTCTGATGGCAGTATTTGTAAAATAGAAAAACTAATAGGCATGACACACAGAAAATTAGTCCAATATGTTCTGACATACATTTAGGACATAAAAATGTTTGAAATCACAATAAAATTGTTGGAATATTCTCTAAAAAGATTAAAATTAAGTGCATTTAGCTTTTTTATCTCTCTATTTAAAACATTTACAAACAAACAAATTAAAAAAATGGTGAGATTAAAACAAAATCTTTAGGTCAAACACGGGAGAAATTGATTAAACTGAGTATAATTGGTATAAAATAAAATAGAATTTTCCATGGACCCACACTAGGCTATTGTTAGTAAATGTTGCATAATGTGTTACATAGCAAACAAAATAAACATAAATATTATTTGAATAGGTCTACTTCTTGTAAATGTTGACGGAAATTGCTGATAATTGGATAGTGTAGAGTTATAGTTACTATAAAACTGGATACCAAATGTTGTTAAAATCTGGAAAAAATTGACATCATAACTTTGCTTATAGTTTTCGTAAGGTTGGAAAGAATTTGGCATTATTCGAACTTCTCTGAGATATTCTTCGCATACAATTCTTTACCTGATTTGGTTATGTAACTGGTAAGGTGCAAAGATAAGCTGAAAATTCCCAAATTCTTAAGTTCTTCAAGAGGCATAACACATAATTTTTATAGACATTTCGGACAGCAGAGATCTTACAAAAATTAAAAAAATTATTGAGCCAATTTAGGTGAAACTGAAGGGTGGTGTTCATGTCAAATACAATAACATTTCAGTTACCATATATTGCATACACACCTATATATATATATATATTTATTAATACTTTTCCTCATAAATGCTTAAATATTAGTTATTTTGTTAACAATATAACACTAAATAAAAAAGTATATAAAAAAGCAATGATTGCTTATAATGTTACGAAATCAGTTTGCACTCATGTATACATCAAACCCATAGTCGTCTAAGCCTCGTCGAATTTGACAAATTGAAATCCACAAAATAATCTATGTAGATTTCATTTATGTAGAATAGATTAAAAAATCCATTACTGGTGGATTCAATGACACTACTCAGCCTTGGAACTTCCATGACGTCACAGTTGGTCCATCGCTGACTGTAAATCTGGATAAATGTAATAAAACAAAATATCTGTATAAACACAATATTTGAAATAGAAATAAATTAATTTTATTATGCTATGTTTCGAACAA